CATAAGAAAGGCTGGGGATTTTTCCAGCTTTTACATTTAATTCCAGATATACCTGAGAATAAAGGACATAAGAACCTTACTCTAAATCACTATAGAAATTCTCTTCATCAAGTACAAAAAGACCATAGAGATCCATGTTTACAGCATCTGAAACTCCTATCAAGTGAATCCTTATAGTAATTCACAAAGACTCATCTCAAAGTCTTCCAAAAAGATGGCAATAACTAACCAGTATAATTATCGAATCTATCAGGGCTACCACTTATTACAATCATTTGCATTTCAGATGCTGTGCTCTAGCAAAATAAGGTTGTTATCTCAGAACCAGTTTTAAGAGGGGTGAATTTATTTCCCAATAAGATAAGGTGGCCTATAGTGAAGAAACTGATGATCTTACAAGTTCATCCAGGAAAGTATCCAGCCTGAGGGATGACTCAGTTATAACTACTAACTAGGGTTCAGGAACCCAGTAGTTAATGTGTGTCACAAACATTGAAGTTCCTTCTCTCCACCACATGGCAATCAGCTGAACTTCTCACTATAAATAGAAATTCTCTGGCACTTATGCAAGAAAACCATGGCCAGTCCCTGGGAGAGAGAATTCCCTGTCCTGACAAATACGCATCAGCTAAATTACTCCCAACCATTTTTCCAACTTCTATAGCTTTTGTATTATGGATACTAAAACCAGTGGATGAATCTCAGTGCAGAAGAAATGAGAGACGTTTACATAATAGAGGAGCAGAGATAATTTTGAAGCAAAGGATGAGGAAGCTAGAAGAATAAAAGCTCTACTCATCCCCCTGACCCTGACCCACATCATCTCCTTGGATACCAACCCAATAAATGTGGAAATTGGTACCTCTAGTTGGTATAGCTTTTGGAGAAAGAAAGGCCTTAGTGAAGGAGCAGGTATAAATTCAGACAAAAAAATAAAGAAAATAATTTGTGAATAAAGGGAGTTTATCACAGGATTAAGGCAAAATGAATATGTTTACTCTTTTTAAACTGAAATTTAAATCACATATGATAAATTCTCCCTTTTAAGGTACACAATTCAATAGCTTTTAGTATATTTACAAATTTATGCAATTATCACCAATATCTTATAATATATTTTATCACATCAAGAAGAAACCCCATATTCATTAGTAGTCGTTGTCCAATCTCCCTTCCATCCAGCCCTTGGCAACCATGAATCTACTTGTCTCTACAGATTTACTGATCCTGGACATTTTATATAAATGTTATCATGCAATATGTAGTCTTTTTTTTTCTAGCCTCTTTTGCTTAGCCTAATGTGTTCAAGGTTTTCTCATGTTGTTGCATGTAACACTGTTTGACACCTTTTGATGACTGAATAATATTTTATTACACTTAGGAAGCAAATTTTTTATCCATTCACCAGTTGTTTGGTTGGACAACTTCCACCTTTTAACTACTATGAATAATACTGCCATTGACATTTGTGTATGAGTTTTTAAGTGGACTTAGGTTTTCAATTCCCTTGAATATGTAGTTGGTAGAACTGCTGACTCAAATGGCAACTCTACGTTGAACTTTTTGAAGAACTGCCAAACTGTTTTCCATTTTCCATTCCTACCAACAATGTAATGCCTTTCATTTCTCTAGTCCTCAAGCTTCTTGAGAGTGAGAACTAAGTCTTGTGTTCTATTGTATCCCCAGAGCCTATAACACAGAACCTAATGAACTATGGTTTTCTATAATTGTGAGTGAATGGATGAATAGCAGCCCAAAATAATTTTTTAATATTTTTGCCTTCTTCTGGAATATCCCTAATCAAAATATACCTCCTGATATCTTTAACTTCCGTCTCTCCAGACTCTTTCCCCTATGAAGCTATTATGAGTAATTAGCATACTCCTAGATATCAGCACTTCTTGAAATAGGTGGTTTATGATTGCTAGACTAAATGATTGTGATCTACTTGGAGTTGCTCACCTGCGCATTAAAGAAGTTAATTTAAGATGATCTGATAGTGCAACCAAGTGTTTCCAAGTTGCCAGCTAGCAGGCAGTCAGATGTTCATGCACATTTTCAAAGTGATCCTCATATAGGTACGGGACACATTTGACTCTAGGACACCATCTGCTGGCCCTGCTGTCAACAACACTAAATGAACCTGGAAAGGAATGGACTCCCACATGGGGCAAAAGGCAACATATGGTACCCATCCCATTACAAAGGCGACCAGAGAAGATCTGCAGATGAAAGGGCCTTCAAATTCTAGCAGCTCTGAATGGGGATTAGTCTCCCAAAACTGACTCATAAGTAGCCTGATGACTTCCAGCTCTGACCAGCTAAAGAGACTATTGCATAGAGGAAATACCTACTTTGATCCTCAAACACAAAATGGACATGTGACATGGATAGAACTTACACTTTAAACATGAATAACTCCTCTTAATATTAAATAGATTCCATCACTTACAAAATCGCATATGAATTTATACAAATTCCTTGTAAAATCTCACAAAAATATTTCCATTTCCACTTCTGATAGACATTTATTGGTTCTCACACAAAACAAGAGTTTCCCTGATGTTTTATATAAGACACATTTCACACATTACATTGTACATATAACATCTGCAACATTTCAATTTTCCAAGAATAGAAGTTGATAGTGAATGACTATGTTCAGTAAATTCCTGAGATTTTGTGTAAATTACGTGTGATAAGCAGAATTCTCCTTTCTCACATTAATGGGATTATGGATGTCCATTCTTCTAATCTTAAGAACTGTGAATATGTTGTATTACATACCAAAAGGTCCTTTACTACATGAACACTTTCAAAAGAAGACATACATGCAGCCAACAAACATATAAGAAAATGCTCAACATCACTGATCATTAGAGAAATGCAAATCAAAACCACAGTGAGATACCATTTCATGCAAGTCAGAACGGTAATTACTAAAAAGTAAAAAATAACAGATGTTGGCAAGGCTGTGGAGGAAAAGGAACACTTTTATGCTGCTGGTGGGAGTGTAAATTATTCAACAATTGTGTGGCAATTCCTCAAAGACTTAGAGATAGAAATAGCATTTGACCCAGCCATCCCAATACTGGGTATATTCATTCCCAAAGGAATATAAATCATTCTATTATAAAAATACATGCATGTATATGTTCATTGCAGCACTGTTCACAATAGCAAACACATAGAATCAACACAAATGTCCATCAATGATAGATAGAATAAAGAAAATGTGGTACATATACACCATGGACTAATATGCAGCCATAAAAAGAATGAGAGTATGTCCTTTGCAGGGACATGGATGGAGCTGGAAGCCGTTTTCCTCAGCAAACTAACACAGGAGTAGAAAACCAAAGACTGCATATTCTCTCTTCTAAGTGGGAGCTAAATGATGAGAACACATGGACAGGATATATTGAGGGGAACAACACACACTGGGGCCTGTCAGAGTGGGGCTTGGATGAAAGGAGAGCATCAGGAAGAATAGCTAATGGATGGTGGGCTTAATACCTAGGTGATGGGATGATCTGTGCAACAAACTACCATGGCACATGTTCACCTGTGTAACAAACCTGTACATCCTGCACATGTACCCTGAACTTAAAAGTTGAAGAAAAAATACACACAAAAAAGAGTCTTTGCTGATGATGTAATAAATGTTATAGACTTTAAAACAGGGGGATTATCCTGGATCATTATACACGACCAGTGTAATCACACAAGGCCTTAAAAGGAGTGATATTTCTTCGACCAGAGTCAGGAAAGAAGCTTCTTAAGAGGAAGTTGGAAAAATCTGAAGAGTCAGGGGTCTTGACCCACTGTTGCTGGAGATAGTGGGAAAGCTTAAAACGAAACGTGAGCAGCCTCTAGGAGCAAAGACCAGCCCCCAGATGACAGCCAAGGAAGTGGGGAGCTCAGCCCTATAATCATAAGGAATTGAGTTTGGCCAACAACCTAATTGAACATGGAGGCAGTCTGATCCTCAGAATCTCCAGACAAGAATGCCATCCAGCCAACATGAGGATTTCAACCTTTTGATATACTAAGCAGAGGGCCCAGCTAAGCCACACTGCATGTACAAAACAATGAATAAAGAAAGGTGTTGTATTAAGTCACCAAATTTGCAGTATTGTGTTATGGCAGCAATAGAAAACCAATATATTCCCAAATATCAGTATGTTAAACTTCAGTATACTGTGGTTTTGAAACATAATTACCACTAGAATGGTCACTTCCAATTGCATATTCCCAGGACCAAGGCACATTCCACTACCAAATGTTGTGTATAATGAGTACATGGGAAATTTATGCTCATAATTACTGGGTAGTTTTAAAGATGTTATCTAATAATAATATACTGATTTTTAAGTAATTATCCCCAACATTTATACTTTAATGATGCATTTTAAAAAATGAAATAGATTATTACTTTGTTAACTAGTCAAGTCTTTATAAAGTTGTCTTACAAGTTTGGTGCAGTTTACTTTAGGAATATATCTCTTTCATTATATGTTTTAGTATATTTTATAGGATTTATTTTTAACATAACCACATATTATATACTAATATATATAAATTGGTCATGTAAACAATAGTGATTATCAATAAAGTTGAATGAATTAATGCTTAAAAAAATGTGAGAACATAAATGATACTAAAGATTTACAGACCTCAAAGTACAAAGAATTCTAAGGCAAGTCACTCATATTTTTAGCATATAAATATATAAAACTAATAACATCAAGTTACTTTTTAAAAAGACTTTATTGGTATGATGACCATATTTTGGTATTTATACTTCTTAAATTAGTAGCTCGAAGTTGCATGTGGCTTTATTGCAAGCACATTACAGTTGCTTCAGTTGCTCATCTGCAGAACAAACACATGCTTAAGATATGCCAAGTTTTACCTGCTCCAGCCAGTGCTTCTAAATTAAACAATTCTAGAGATCTGGAATATAACATAAAATCTGGATTTGGAACATGGACACTTACTTTTTCTGAGCTCTTTCAGCCAGCCTTGCAATCTCTATAGTTGCTTTCCTTGCTTCAAAATCTTCCCTTTTCACTCTCTCTCCAGTCCCTCGGTGGCCTAGCTCCACCAACTGGCGGGCCAGGGTTTCATCCTAAAGAGAAAATCAGTGGGCAAATGAGACATAATTGCTTTTACTTACTTGCGTACATCCTACATCTGCAATGTATACCAAGCAATTGTTTTAAATAAAAAATTAAATTCATTTTAAAACTATACATGATCTATTAGATATAAGAAATGAATTTTTCGGGGATAGCAGGGGGAGAAATGCCATATGTAGGTGATGGGGAGGAAGGCAGCAAATCACACTGCCATGTGTGTTCCTATGCAACAATTTTGCATGTTCTTCACATGTACCCCCAAACCTAAAATACAATAAAATAAATAAA